TTTGTAAAAACTGTGTATGTGTGTATATATATATATATATATATATATATATATATATATATATATATATATATATATATATATATATATATATATATATGTGTGTGTGTGTGTATGTATATAGTTTGAAAAATGAAAATAGGTCAATAACTGTTTGAATAATTTGTAATGTGTGCAATAGTATGTTTTACTAAGATTGTCACACCCATGGGAACTAAGCACAGATGAAATATTTAGATATTTTTATTTATGAATATGGAAAATACTTCATAATACATATTTATTTTTTTATTAATCTATCGTCTTAGATATCACAATTAGGACTAATGGTATTGTGTTTAAATTTCTTCACATGGATGCTAATGATAGCCTAGAGGGTTGTTATGTTTTAGCACCAAATTACCAGCAACACTGCTCGAAGCTGGCAATTTTTAATCTTAGCAGTTATCAAATTAAGAACTACTACACTACCCAATCATCAGAATTTTATTTCTACCCACATGACAGTCAGCTTATACCCTATAGTATAAGGGAGTAAAACATTTTAAAAAGAAGTGTAAAAACACAGTCTACTAATAAAACATGCAGCAACATTACAAACAGTTGTTAAAATCTCAGTGAAACAAGTTAATAGATGGAGGATTGGATTAGGATAAAGAAGGATAAAAATTAAACAGTGGGAAGGCAAATAAATTAAAGGAAGAGGTGGTGATCAAACCTCACCTGCAGACATCTCAATATTCAGCTACAACTGGAAACATTTAACTGATTAAGGAAACACACTACATATAAACAGAGTATATTTCTGGTGGAGTAAAAATATCTAGCCAGACAATCTACCAAATTTTCAGGAGGGGTTCAGTATTATCATGGAGATGTGCAGTGTTTGTTTTTTTGCTTTTTTAACTAGGTACACAAAACATGCGCAGATGACCTGAAAAAACCTCACCCATACATATATGGCCGCAGTATAAAACTTTAAACACAATCTGAAATGTCCTCTTTCTTTGTGAGAGTGCAAAGGTCAACCATAAAGCTTGTGAGCTAAACATAAGCACAACAGTGTCCCAGTAGAAAATCTAGAAAGGAATGAAAGACCACAGAAGCTCAACAAGTCGAGGCAAGACCAGCCAACAGGGTGAAGATACGAAATCACAGAAAAAAAACTCACACCCTGTAAATGAAGAAAATAATGTGACTGGCTCTTAGTCTTAAAGCAATCTGGAGGTCATAATTTCAGACAGAAAATAATACACAGTCAGTAATGAAAGTCAAGCAATAGCACTGTAGTACAATGCTATGTGATAAATAACCATAGACTATCAATATAAGCATTAATACATAAGCAAGGGCAAGGGCCAATTATAGAGAAAGAGGGACAAAGCAGGAAAACAACTGCCATAGCAGGGTGGGACAATACGTGCCTTAATTGCATTCATAAAATCATGACTTTCCATTATGAAAACACAAACTAATGTTATTTTATTTCAAAACAGTGAAGCCTCTATTGTGCAAGTTAAAAAAATGGGCAACAGAAGAGAAATTCTGACAGATGGGTTTGAAATAAAATCTTAAAAATGTAAATTTACGTGACAGATCTGCAGAATGCATTATATCTTTCAGGTGACCACTAAGTGAAATCATCTTGAAGGCTGCAGCACCCAGAGAGCCGAAGTTGCTCCGGAAAGGATTTAGTTACTTCATGGTTTGCATTCCTGGAGATATGCGACTCTACACAGAGAGGGTTGACAGGGAAAATCAGTTTTAAAAAAAACAAAAAAAAAACTAAAAAGATATTTTGGTGCATCTCTGTAATGAAAGCTACCCTATCTGGGGTAAAAGAACAGGCATCACAAGTGAGAGAAAGTGAACATCAGAATACCTGATGCACAAGATCAAACAGTGCAAAACTTCATTAACTTCAAACAGTCAAACAGATTCACATCCCATGTGCACAAATATTTTACCCTAAGGTGGCGGAAAAGTCAGGGGACGTTGCCAGCAGAAATGCCATGGAAAGTAGAAGGAGCGAATGGAATCGCTAAACAATGCAAAGTACACAGCGGTTAAGCATGGCCCCCTTCATAAACAGACATAAGGAAACTGAGGATGTTTGTTAAGATACTGAAATGTCCTAGGTGGTGGCCCGATACCTGCTGTAGTTCTGCTGTCCAGATGCCATTCTGCTTCCTCGTTTCTCAAGCCAGTAATGTAGTCTGCATTGACTGAAATATTCTATTCCATGTTCCAAATCCAAAAGTCCTTGGTTGCCGCCCAAGCGGTTGATGTATTGGATGACAGACATGTTGTCCATAAGCAGTTTATTACAAGTATTGTAACAATCCCTGGAGAAACTCTGGAGATCAAAAGAGTCTGCCATTAACTCCAGGCAATTGGTGTGCAGTCCTGACTGCTTAGGAACACCATCCACCAGTTGATACATCTCTACAGCATGCACCCTAGCCTGTGGAGATTGATCATTGATCTCATTGTCAGCCTTTATCACTGATCTCATTGACAGCCTTTATTTTGGACCAATAAGCTATTACTCACGTAGCACCTTGAGGACAAATGAGAAAACTCAATAGCTACCTTCACAAAGAGAGCTGACATTTTGATGATCTGACCGTCTTGTTTAGAAAACAAAAAAGGAGGTGTAAAATAGTACCGGAGTGTGGAGAAATGGGTAATGTTAGAGGATTTACTGATATGCCAGTGAGAAAGCTCAGTGGGCTAATGCATCATTAGTATAATCTGTTCAACCCTTGAAGTCGGAGGTTGAAATCCCAGCATGGTTGACTCAGCCCTTCATCCTTTCGAGGTAGATAAAATATGTACCCTTAAATTGGGAAATCGTAACATCCCCAAGAGGTACTTGGGAACCAGAATAATACAAATGTACCTTTCCGGGTTAAATACTTTGTTATTATTATTACTGGCTACAAGCCTCCTTTTGGGATCTTAGCACTGAATTGGTCTCTACCAGTGCTCCTTTCTAACCAACATGGCAAGGCTTGTTTGTGTGCAGTAGGAATACGTTCAGGAATAGACTTAAAACCATCAGTCACAAGAGTTATGGATAGATTGTTAAATCTTTTATATACATTTGAAAAGATAAAGGAACATTGCATGAGCATTTCTTAGCACATATTAAAAGGTGATTTTCAATCTTTTATGCAATGGTGTAATTTCCACTTTAAAGCAATAGTGGAGCATCAAAACCACTACATCTTAAAAAAGAGGCATTTCCTCCATACGACTTTTTCAAAGGTCTTCATATTTCAGCCTGCATAATAACAAACACAGGCAATGCCATGAGAGTCCAGGCACTGCATTATCAGTCAATATAAAGCAGCACACCAAGCCCTACAGATCTCTGTAGTGGTTATGGTGCCAGTAGCATCCTAAAGCTGATTCTCTCCTATACAGCTACAAGTTTCTTTCTCTGAGCTAAGCTGGGCTTTGCAGGCTGAGAACGAACAGCTTACGCTAGAGATTCCATTCTCCTGTAGCTGTAGAATAGGTAAGTAGTAGTGCCAGAAGAGCCCGCCCAGGTAAGAGGTCAAACTGGTTTAGACTAAAGAGTAAGAGTAAAACTAGTTTGACTACTTGCAGTTGGGGGGAGAAATAGCACTCCTTGCACTATATCCGCCTTGTGCTTGTAGTAGTTATGGTGCTTTGAGTGTTCCTTCAGAATACATCAATACAAATGCAGTTACATCATTACAGTAAATTTAATATGAATATATAGCAAGCAGACATTAAACATCCTACTACTTTCTTGACTTGATATGTCCATAATAATCTTGCAAATAGATTATCTTAACACAGTGGCAGACTGCACCCATGTTGTTGCTGTTGAAACTTTTTTTATTGCAAGTTGGATAGCTAATAGTTTATTTAAAACAAGGTGCTGATACTCTGTACTAGGAACAATAAAAAAAGTCTAGGCAATAAATCTTGAATTTAATTTGTTAAGCTAGAACGCATGCCTTAAAACTAGTGTTAACTACAAATTATATACAGCATCATTAAACATAAGTGCAATTTATTCCAATGGTTTGACAGGTAGGAACAGTACAGCAGTTGTTCATTTAGAGGTGTAGGACTCACTTTATTAAATCAAGAATGTGATATAATCCAACTTGGGGACATATAAAACTAATGAGTAATGGATACACAAAATCATATAGATTAGAGTTAGTTAAAAAAAAATGTCACTTGACTGTAAGCTAAAAGTACTGTTTTACTTTTATCTGTATTATTACCTAATTCAACAAAAATGTATATACTTATTACTTTTTTTCTTTCTTAGAAATGTTGATGCATCAGAAAAGCGATTCCAGGTCGATAGGTTTGCAGCTCACTTCAGGAGACAATTAGACACAAACAGAGTTTTCTCTTGCCAAGTGGAGGAAACTAGGTCTCTTTTTCATTGCTATATAAATGAAATTGACCAACAAGACAGAACAAAGTCCTCTAAAGGAGTTGGAGACAGTGACATTCTTATTCAGCAAACTGTAAGAAACAGTAGAGTGGAAGACGAGATGCATCATCATGCAAAATTCAACATTCCAAACTTTGTAAACACCGACCAGAATTCCTCTATAGGAGAGGAGGATCTTTTAATCTATGACCCAACAATTATATTAGAAAACAAGCCATCGTCTTCAGGACAGCATCATTTTTTAAATGGATAGTAGATTAAACCACATTTCATCGAACACAGTCTTGATTTCAGACCTACTCTAAGGGCAAGGCATTTCCAAGGAAAGGGCTACTCTTAGATGATTAAAATAAAGCACGAGATATTAAAATAAAGGACAAGAGATATTTTCATATCTGGTGACTATTTGATGTTTAATTGCTTAAAGTAACAGATCATTTTTCTATTTCATAAAAAAATAATTTTACATGTATTTTGTATGTATACTGTAAATTATTTTATATTAAAGTGCAGTTTGAATTACATCTTGTGTTGTAAACAATTTACATTTTTTTTTTTTTTTTAAATACGCACTGTGTAACCAGAACTTGATTCTAGACAGCTGATGTCACATAAAAAGCTACATTAATTTATTTGATTAGTCAGTATTATTATGGGTCTGTTTTATAAATATGAAAAGTGCATTCCTTGTATTGTGGGCTTAATTAAAGGAAATAGTAAAGGGGTTTTACAAAGTTATATTTACTGTAATGACCAAGTTGCTATTTAACAAAATTTTGTAGATAAACCCAATGACATGTATTCTACCAGCAAATTGTTTTTATTATATCTTAGCCTAATGTAACTGACTATAGCTGGATGTGAACTTACCCACATGATTTGCACATGGCAAATTCCTTTTATCAATGTTTTTTTTTTTTTTTTCAAGTTATCCTGCTCGCTTCATAATGTTTATCAAGTTGATCTCTCTAGACTGGATATGTAAACCTTTTTTGTAAAGAGTGGTCTAATGGGGACAATTAAGGTTTGTGTTTCCGTAAACAAGTTCACAGCTGATTGTCCAGTCTCAAACTGAAACATCTTACTTAAGTTAGACTCTTAATAAAACAGATTATGAAACTTTCAGCAAAGGCAGTGAATTTTGGTTTGATGTGTTTAATAAAGATTTAAAAAACAGTTTGGTGTTATTTATCTATATGCACGGTTATTGGGCATTAGAAGATGATCACACCACATTGTAGATCAAATGAATATATGAAAACAGACCATTCAGAGTTGTTCAGAACATCTTTCTCTCTACCATATAAGCATTGAGTTACTGTTAGCAAATCCGCATGTCATTTGTCTTGAGGTATTTATATATAAGCTATATAGGCAAACGTATAGGGGCATTCCTAATTATTGAGTTAAAGTGTTTCAGCCTCATCCATTGCAGATGCATACAATCCAGGACAAATCTTGACATGACAATGAGCTGTACTAAAGAACTCAGTGACTTTAAATGTGGCATTGCCATAGGATGCCACCTCTACGACAAGTCAGTCTTTGAAATTTCCTCCCTACTATTACTGCCTGGGTCACCTGTAGTGGTAACCTCAGAGTCAACAAGAGCCCAGGATTGAGGTGGCAGACTACACATAATCAAAGAGCGGGCATGCCATGCATCACTCTTAAAGGGACACTATTGTCACCAGAACAACTACAGCTTATTGAATTTGTTCTGGTGAGTAGAATCATTACCTTTAGGCTTTTTGCTGTAAACACTGTCTTTTCAGCTTAGTGCTAACTCCACTGGCCACTCCTCAGATGGCTGTTAGAGATCCTTCCTGGGTCATGGCTGCCTAAAATGCACCCAAACATTCAGTATCTCCTCCCTCTGCATGCAGACACAACTTTCCTCATAGAGATTCATTAATTCAATTCATCTCTATGAGGAGATGCTGATTGGCCAGGGCTGTGTTTGAATTGTGCTGGCTCTGTCCCTGATCTGCCTTCTTGTCAGTCTCAGTCAATCCTATGGAGAAGCATTGTGATTGGATCAGGCTACCACTTCTGCTGAAGTCAGAGGAAGTTCACAGGCAGAGGCAGCAGCTTCAGACTTGAATACAAGTACAATTTTACTATCTTTAGGGAGGCAAAGGGGGCAGGGGGGCTAGATGTTAGTTTTAACCCTATAGGGTCAGGAATACATGTTTGTGTTCCTGACCCTATAGTGCGCCTTTAACCAAGTTTTTAAACTGCCTCTGGAAGCATCTTCAGCACAAGAATGGTTTTTTTTTTTGGGAGCTTCACGAAACAGGTTTAGGTTACTGAGCAGCTATACATAAACCTCACATTAACATGCACACTGCCAAGTGTCTGGCAATTAGCATGCCTCTACTGGACTCAGGGTGAGTAGAAAAATGTTCCCTGAAGTGATAAATCATACTTCACTATCTGGCACTCTATGTATGAATTTTGTGGAGGAGTGATTAAGGTCTTGGGTTATTTTTCAGGTTTGAGTTATTTCCTGTGAAGGACTGTCTTTAGGCGATAAAGATATTTTAGACAATTAAGTGGTTCAAATTTTCTGGCAACATTTTCCTGTTCCAGTAAGAGATCCATGAAGACTTGATTTGACGAGTTTGGTGCAGAGAAACTTGAGTGACCTCAACACCCTCAATTCACATTTGGGATGAACTGGAATGTCTGTTATGAGACAGATCTTCTAGATCGACTTCAGTGCCTCACATTACAAATGTTTTTTTGTCTGAATGGGCACAAATTCTCACAGACACAATCCAAAATCTTGTGGACAGTTTTCCCAGAAGTGTGACAGCTGTTATAGCAACAAAGACCGGAACCTTTGACTTTTCATAATATTGGGGGATCATTGGATTTATGATAATTTTGGTGTCCCCTCTAGTTTTTTTGTGGCTTCTATGGATTCACAAGATTTTATGCAGGATATTTTCTGCTGCTAGTTCAAGTGTTATTCCAAACCTCAAAACCACTAAAGCCTGATGTAATGTTTATGATGCCAAGGGTACCCTGGCCTGGTTCCCTGGTAATGAGGCAAACTGTTTAAGCAATGGTTTGCCCCCTTACCTCTGAGTCTGCTGGGTTCTGTTGCTTCTTAGTGATCCAGTGACGCACTCGGCAGAAGCTGGAAGCCGTGGCCATCGCCAATTATTGATCGAGAGTATCAGCTGACCGAAAGTTTCACAGAATTGACACTAGACAGCCTAGAACGTTATTTTCAGGCTGGGTGATGACATCCCAATGACGCTCCTGAAGGTAGAGTTACATTTTTGGCAACAGAGGGATTAAACTCCATACACTGCACAAACATACTTCAAACACCATGAACATCACCTGAGAATCACTGATGTGGTCATGGTGCTTGGTGTAACCCTTTAATTGTATCATCCAAATAAAATTAATATTATTATTGTTTTTTAAAGAGACACATAGTTAATTTTGCTATAGGTAATTTTGTTAGGTAAAATAATGCTTAAAATCAAGATATACCCCACTTTCACAAATATGCCATAATATACCCACTTTCACTAATAATTCTCAAAATTCTAACTCACCTTCAAGTAACAGATGTAATACCAGATGTTAATATGTAATAATAAACAGAAGTTGTGTATATGAGAGTGGTTCAGTGGAGGTGGTAACCCATTAAACCCAAATAGTAAATTGTCAATGAGAAATTATCCAGGTTAGTTTTATTTAAGTTATACTAATATACATGCTGAAAATCACACAAAAGTTTTCAACAATAGCAAAATATTAAACTGGAATGCATTATACACATTTTTTATAGTATTTCAAAACATGTTATCTAGAATCATAGATTCAATAGGATCTACTTAACTAAATCAATATTGAACAAAGTCCCATGGCCAAGCATTTCAGCAGACCTCTGCTTTAGTTCTGTCAGATGTGGAGGTGGGAATAACAACTCCTTGTCTTTGGAGTACTCGCAGGACATCTAGAATGGCATCTAATTCCATTCTAAACTTCTCAAGCTCTATATTCTTCTGATTTGAAAGCTTCTTCCACTTTTCTACTTCTTTGGCTTGCTCTTCACTTGCTGCATGGTGGGTTTGCTTTATTATCTGCAAAAGAAAATATAACTAGATACTGGACTACATAGTCATAGGATAAAGTAGCATTCTATAAACGTTGAAGCAACAGTTCAAAAGAAGACCAGAATGATGTATATTATATAAATAATGCCTATGGAGAACTTCTTCATACGTTTTGCACGGCTTATGTTTGAAGTCTAGTAAAACTGGTAGCATGTGTTCCCATAAACAAAAGGTAGATGTCCTGATCACCTTCATTACGGTTGTTATGCTTGGAATGTTATATGAACTGTGGACTCTGCACCTTACTGTAAAATAAATTTAGCCACTAAGCTGTAAGACAGCCTTTGACATGTGGTGGCTCTAAGAATTTATAAATAGATAAAGTCCAGTTATTTTCATACACAACATTTGCTAACATTTACAGAGAATGGCAGAAATGGTGTGATAGTAGTGAAAATATATATTGTGAAAGCAAATTAGTAAAAAGTCTTAAATTGCACAAACAGATCCTTGCAAATTATCTTTCACTAATGGGGTTATTCACTATTGTGTGAATTGTCTTGAATTTAAAGTGAATTTCAAATGTATGACCACAGTATCCAAACTAGAACCATAGGTCACTTGAATAGTTTATAAGGAAGAGGTTGTGATGAACTCTTGCATTGTTTCACCTGCTAATGTTTTCCACTTAATTTAGAGTAGACCTCAGGGTATAAATCATGTGAATGTAATAAAGAGGCCACTAAGTGTATATTTCATCAGCTTTCAAAACATTTAAGCATTGCTGCCTCTGTAGCTATTAAAAGGAGAAATCGTCCAAATACCTACTAAACAGCAAAAAATATATAAATTTGACATCTTTTTATTTACCTGTTGAAGTTCCTCTTCTCTTTGTGAATATCTTATTTCCATGTGTTTAAGTTTACTTTCCAATGATAAAAACTGTTTCAACTGTGGACTGTGGCACTCTTTTGACTCTCTAAGATCCTCAATGAGTTTTGCCATCTACAAAAATATAAAAAAAAAAAACATAAGTAAGAACAAACTACAAATTAACTAGGGATGCACCAAAATTTTGTCTGCCTAAATTTTCGGCTGGAAATGGGCCTATCCCATTTCATCAGAAAATGGGTGTAATCTGATGAAAATTACAACCCCCAACCTCAAAATCCCTCACCTATAGTCCTCTCTCCCAATACTCCATCCCAAACCTCTCTAAGTGCATGTTCCCTTGTCTGTGCCATCTTCCTAGTCCCCTTGTGTCCTGGGTCCTGCTTTCTGGCCATGAGCCTCACTCAAACCTGCTCTTGGATTCCCTGAGACCCAGTGGCCGTAATTCTGCCTAAAGTACCTGCTTTTATTTTTCAATACCTGACTGTCCATGTCAGAATTCATGACAGGAAGAAACTTCTTACTTTTCTCTCCCTGTCCTGCAGTGCAGGCTAGTATGATTGACATTATAATATACTAATAGGTCGCTGACTTCCTGTTTCCATGGCAATGGAAGGTTCATTCCCCGCATTCCCTTGCTTAAATCACAACCCTATACATTCTTAAGGGGACAGACTTACATTTCGGATCTATTGTTTTGCTTCATCTGCAATTTTACAAGGGGCTTATTCATCAAACACAGAATTGTAGTGTATTTAAAACCACATTGTAATATTTAATTTGAACAGGATAGATTTCCAAATCCACTCTAGTCAGATCTCGGATAATTTAACCTAAATTTTTCAAAACTGTTTTTCAGTTTAAATCAGGATGCCATTTAGTGAATTATCTCCAAGAGATAGCCAACATGGTTAATATATTTGGTGCACTAAATTATTTTATCAAAGGGATAGTGGGCACCATAACCACTACATGCATGTTTTTAAATGGCACTGTCCATTACAGTGGACAAGTGTAAATTTTTAATTTCCATATGTGCAGTTATTGAATCAATAAAATTATAGGAAAAAAAACTATTTCAAAATCATTTGGGAAAAAAAAAAAATCATTTTCGGCCCAGAATTTTAATTTCGGTACATCCCTAAAATTAACTAACTAAAACAAACACACACACACTTCAGACATGTTGCAGAAAAAATAGAGAATGTAGTACTAATACAAAACTGACGCTTAAAGCATACCACATACAAGGTAAAATTAATTAAATCCTGAATTTTCCTACACACATGACTATAACTTCTAAATAATAGACCAATGCTATTAAATCATATTTTTATTATAGTATTTAGGATAGAGAAGGTCACACATCTGTAATTATATAATCCCATTCACAGAAGGCCAATGTTTTCTTTTTTTTTGAGATACGCGTGCTAGAAGATTAAACTAATTTCATTGAATCAGACAAGATAATGTATGCTTCTTAATAGTTCATTACGCAAAATAATTTTGTTGTAAAATTATAGTCTGTACAGGAGCATTTCCATCAGAAGGGCTTATGAAAAAAGGACTTCCTCAAAAGGTGTATAATGGATGTCATACAGACAACTTCACCCCAATGTAAAGTTTAATAACCATCGTCTTAGTCAGGAGAGAGATTTACAATGGTTTGTTTCAGAGCTCATTTTTTGCTACATTGTTGTATTATTCTTGATCATTTATGGTAGATCTGGTTGATGCTTATATAGATGATTACATTGTTATATATTTACTTGGTAATACAATTATATTGTTGCACAGTTGTATGTTGTTTCAATGCTTAATTTTCAGAAATGAATTCAGAGAATTTGGTAAATATTGATTTACAGCATTAATTTTCCGCTAGACAATATATTTTATGTCTTACGATAAATGTGTGATTTAAATCCAAAATTTCTGACAAAAGGAAAGTAGGGAGGACATTTCCTGCAAGCCCCTTTTCAATAAGTGACATTAGGATTAATTATATACTAATCCACTCAAACTTGTTAAATATGTGGCATTTAATTTTATATGTGGTTTAATTTAATCAAATGGAGACAGAATCTGATTCCCTTCACTACAGAAGCTGAAAGTAGGAGATATTAACATTATTATTGTATAACATACTGCTATAAATTGAAATTGTAAGAGAATATGCCAAAAATGAAAAGTAAAAAGGCATTCACTAACACAAGATAGAAATTAAGGAGGAAACCTATGCTGCTAAAATATCTAACTGCCCCGTCTAGTCTTTTCAGAACCAAAACTTGCACTAATATATATATTTTTTTGCTGTCAAAGGTGCAACTCTACTTCTGGCAGCCTTCGTTACTGTTCCGGGCTAGGTAATGTTAATTCTGTACATATTCCTTGCACAGATTCTAAGTCATTGCCTGAGAGTGTTCATCTGATACGCTCAGCCAATGAATGCTCGGTTGTATTGGCAAATTAGCTCTGCAGCTCTTGGATTATAGGAAGTCCCAGGTGGAACCAAGGTAAGAGGCAAACCATTGACAAGTATCAGTGAATTGTGCCTGTCTACTCATGTGGTGGATTTTCTTTTTTTCGTATATTATTACTTCATGTTAGACAAATATGGTATTTCATAAAACA